TTAGTTTGAGACCTTTGAGTCAAATAAAAATTAAAAGTGTTCGGCTTGTTTTGAGCGGAATATCAACACCAAATTTTCATATATAATACAACTAAAAGTATGCACCTAAAAGAAAAGACCATACTTCTGTAGGGAATATTTTCAAGCCTTTAAAATCCCACTAGCTTGAACCCCACTGTGATCATACACTAAAGTACGTTGGCGTCCAAAAGGGAAGAAGATAGAGCAAAAGAGTCGCCAACAAGTTTTTTAGGAACTTGTAAACCATTCACAGGGTGAAGGTTACACCCCTTAACGATCCAAGAGATCGTCAACTCCATAAGGTCTAGAACCAAATAAGGGTTCGGGGATGAAGGTACAAATCCAACCTAAAAGAGATTGAACCTGCCCTAATAATAGGCCTCTACTTTATTCTGATCGTATTCATGTGCACTTTCTGACTAACATACAATCAATAAGATTAACCCTAAACTTGTTTATCTATGTTGGTTGAATATTAATGCACAAATAAACTATTATTGGCGATCACTTGAATTATAATCACAATTAACCCTAACAAGATCATTAATTATCTTATTAAGCATGATTACAAGTATCAAATTCCCTTTAAACATGCATAAAGGTGATCAAGCAATAAATAAATATCATCAAGCAACATAATAATAAATCAATATCATGAATAATAATATTATAATCATAATAATAATAATCATAATCATGTTCATGTTAATATTAAAGCATAATAGTAGCAAGATCCTAGGCATGATACTAACAAGATTAATAACAAACCCTAGCATGTCACTAAGCAATAAAAATCAAAGCTTTAGCCCTAACATGATACTAACAATCATAAATATTAGGAAGAGAATAAAAGGCATCGCATGAATCATATTTAATATTAAAAATACCCTAGACATGATACTAGGAATATCATAATAACAATGTAAACATGAATTCTACATCATAACATCAATAAATCAATTAAAGTACTTACTTTGATGCTTCGTACCTCTTTCTAATAACAAAATACACACGTTAGTAACTTCAAGGAAATTAATAAATCAAACAATTAAATTAAATAATTGAAAGAGAGATTTGGGACCAAACCCTCAGAAGTTAAAACCTTTCACGTCTAGGGCGAAGGCAACTTCGAATATGGCTAGGTGTTTCTAGATCTTGCGAATGCGGAATTTTGTATTAGAAAAGCAAAGTAAGAAAGAATGAATGAGGGAGAGATGAAAGAATGCTAATTAAAACTAATTGTTGAGGAAAACATGTGAATGAGGAGAATTGGTGAATGATAGATGTAGATGATATTTGATGAATGAAAACAGAGTTTTTAATACGATATTTATAGAGAAAATCAGCCAAAAAAGATAAATTAACAAAACAGAGTCTGACGCTCAGGAAACAGAGCTGGCGCCAACCCTGGCTAGTTGGCGCCAGACACCAGCCTTAGCGTCAGGCGCCAATGGCTAGCGCTAGGCGCCAGGCCTGGTTCCAGGCGCCAGGGCCTAGGGTTGGACGCCAAGCTTGATTTTAACGCGTTTTCGAAAATCCGATAAGTTTACCGTACTGGAGGATAAATAATATAATTTCTTCGAAAATGCTATTTGATTTTGATTTAAACTCTGAAAAGTCAACAAAGTCAACTTATCAATGCTAATTGAATTAGGAATGAAAAGAACCTTCTAGAAGAATCTAGAAGACTAAAACCATTCCTAATTGCATTAGGAATGATAAATCATATTAGGCCCTCCCCAAGATCATTGGGCCATATATAAAGCCCAAACCGGGCCTAGTTTGGTAATTTGGCCATAATTTCCTCAATATTCATCGGAATTGAGCTTATAATATATCGTTGGAAAGGTCTTTGCAAGCCCTATCCAACTACACTACTATTGAACCCATATCATGGACCAAACAAACTGGATTGGCTGTTTTCTTAAAATAAAGTTTTCAAAAACAGAAAGAAGAGAAAAGAAATTAAAAATTTCCGCATCACTAGACCTTTCCACACTTTCGTTTCATTCGATTATGATTCGACGTGAAAGGTACTCATCACTGAGTTTGGTTTTGGGGAGACACAAATGAGTGTCTACAACTTCGAATTTTGAGCATTTTTCAACCTCCAATAACCTTGTGTCATTAATTAATCTAATGATACTTAGGGCCTGTTCTCATTGACTGAACTCAGCTGAACTGAACTGAACTGAATTGAGCTGAACTGAACTGAACTGAGCTGAGCTGAACTGAACTGAATATTTTATAAGAGAAGGAAATTTGGAGCTGAGCTGAACTGAACTGAATTTCAACGTAAGAGAACAGACCCTTATTAGTATAAAATGTACTCATTTTTAAATGATACTCGTATTATCTTAATACCAACAAAGAATCGTACTAACAAAGCATTTTGCGTTTATTGACATTAATGACGAAGTACGTATCATGGTAATGTCATATAAGCATAATTTTATACCAATGAGCATTATTAGTCATTTATGACTCAAATCTATACATAGTATTTAAAAACTCTAACCACAAATTCATACTAAGCCACATGTCACCAATCACTCATATGCCACATGTCACCTCCTTTAATCTTTCAATAGAGTAAAATAAATAATGTTTTAAGTCTTTATGCATTCCAAGACTTGCAGATTTAAGTAATAAGAAAATGAAGAGTTTCATTTCTACCATGATAAACTAAAGTTAAACTAATTACAAAGACAATAAAATAATATTTTCATCTCCTAAACTTAAAATATAACTTAAATCAATAAGTCATTTCATACTACGCAATATCTATGTATATATATATACCTAACTAAAATCCAAAACAATATCGACACATATAACACAAATATATATGCAACACATTTCAACAAAAATAACCAGCCCGTGCATCGAACGGGCTAAAATACTAGTTATTATTAGAGGCATTTCCCCCAAAATTTCATTTACGTTCATACAATCCTATTACTCCACTCATTCATGAACTAATGTATATTATCTCCATCCCTATTTATTTTATTTTGTCCCTTTTGTAATATTTGGGTAATTTTTTAAAAAAAAATTTGACCATAAATTCCCATTAATTTATGGAATTCATAAAGTTTCGTACTTATAAAGTTATATAAAATCTTGTTGAATTTATCTCATCTCATTCTATATTTTAATAGTAATACTAAGCATTAAGTTTTTTTAATATTCTGGTATAAAAATAGAGCTATATATGTACTCCGCACTTTGTTATTTAAAATTGTAATTTGGGACGGAACGAAGGAGCATTGGGATCTAGGGCTGAGCAAAACTACTCGAAAAATCGAAAACCCGATCCGCAACCGTTTCGAAAATTAGGGTACCCAATACAATCTATATATCTATAATCTATAATTCTATATAATTATTAATCTATATCTATAAATAAACTAAAGTAGCAACCGCTGACGTCATTTTTTTCCCCAAAACTGTACACGTGTCGACTTATTATGAAAAATTTTCCCGCCCAATTGTATGGCTTATTTTAGAAAAAAAAATTATCATTTAAAGTTACATCACTAAACTATTATTTCCTAAAATAATGGGATTTGAATTGGTATAATTGTTTTTGTATTTATCCCAAGTTACTATACATTTTACATAAATCAATAATTTAAATTACAAGTAATAAAATAAATTGGAACGATTTCCCTACAAATTGTTTAAACCAAAATTAATTCCTACTTTGCACTGTTTTAAAAACTTATTCCCTACATAGTGTCCACGTAGGATCGGGTATTAGGTTTTTTTTTATTTTTTTTATTTTATATAAAGTATAAAACCACAATTAGTAATAATAGCGGTTTTACTTTTAACTCTTTAACACGTCTTCCCTGTCTTCCCATTTCCTCTCTCCTCGGTTCTCACAATCTCACTGAGAGTCAACAAATCAACAATGGTGGAGAGTATGCACTTGAACTGTGCAGCCCCAAAACGCAAATGTTGCCCACCAATTCAATTATTGCCGTTGGTATTAAAACAACAAAGATGCTATTTTCAAGCTTCTGCCTCAACCTCTTTATTCACTCTTGTTTTTTTTTTCAATTCAAACCTTTTTTTCTTCTTAGATCTTCTCTCCCTTCTTTTATTTGTTTTGATTTTCTGGGTAATTTCATACAATTATAAATTCGAATTCTGGGTAGTTTTGGTTTCAAAAAAAAAAAAATTTGGGTAGTTTTGTTTTGATATAATCTCCACTGAGTAATTTCATACAATTATGAACTCCCATGTAACTTTTTTTTTTACTTCCTGTTTTAATTTCATGGGAATACCTCTGCATTCAACCTCACAAAATAGTTTGCGATCGACCTAGAAAACCCCATCTTCAAAAAAAAAAAAAAAAAAAACCTTGAAGAAAGAACTGTTGTAGAAAAAAAGGAAAAAAAATAAAAATAAAACTAAGCTAAGAGCATTGCCACTAAAGGGCATTTTTTTGGTTTCCCAATCTCTCTCTAACCACTTTCTCACTCCTCCTCCCCATGGGTATTTTCTTGGTCATTTTTTTTTCTACACTAATGGTCAAAAATTATAATCCCCACCATTCTCTCTCCTATTTTTAACCCTATATCCCACCAATATTTATCTCTCCTACACATCATTAAATTTGTAATTTAGTATTTCTAAATTTTATTGTTAACAAAATTTTGTATTGATTAAATTATTTAATTATTTTTATTATTAATTTATGCAAAATGTATTTTTTAATAAAATAATAATATTTATTCTTTAAGTAATACTTATTCGATCTGTAAAAAATATAATAAAAATAAATAAATAAATAAATCATTTTAACTAAATTTTTTTATTGATTAAATTATGTATGAGTACAATATTAATTATTTTTATAATTATTCTATGCGAAATTTCATTTTTCATTAGTACAACATTAACGATTACAACATTGGAACATAATGATCGTACACCTATCATACAAACCAAATAAATTAACGATTACAAAACTATTTATTTGTACGATCGTATTTTTGCCAAATATGCTCAACTAAATCATCTTTCAAAGAAAAATGGGTTTGGCTATCACGCAGGGTAATTCTTCTTTGAATATACCCGTCAAAATCAACGTTTGGTGGTCGGCCAACGTTAAATTCGAAAGGCTCGTTGTTATTCACTGTGGCACTTGTACTCGGACCGGACCTTGCTCTATGAAGCTGAGGGCGATCTTCTTCATAATACCTTCTCAAAACTTTGGCACGAGTGTAATTGTGTCGTTCATCCTCGACAATCATGTTGTGCATAATGATACAAGCTTTCATTATGTCGCTCAAAATGTCTTCGTCGAAAGCAAGTGTGGGTTGTCGTAATATGGCAAACCTAGCCTGTAGAACTCCAAACGCACGTTCAACGTCTTTCTGAGCTGCAGCTTGTTTATCTGCAAATAACTTGTCCTTCTGGAGTTGAGGATATGTGATACCTTGTATAAATGTTGCCCAGTTCGGATATATACCATCTGTTAAGTAGTATCCCATGTTGTACTCATGGTCGTTTACCATAAAACTAATTGGTGGTGCCCGACCTTTCAAAACATCGTCAAACACCGGAGAGCGGTATAGGACGTTAAGATCATTACAAGAGCCGGGTATTCCAAAAAATGCATGCCAAATCCATAAATCTTGATCCGCAACAGCTTCGAGGATAAGGGTTGTGTTCTTGCTACGACCTGCGTATTGTGCTTTCCAAGCCATAGGACAGTTCTTCCACTCCCAGTGCATGCAGTCGATGCTACCGATCATGCCCGGGAATCCACGCTGCATTCCTACGCTGCTGGAAGAACGGATCGCCCTCAACCACTTTATTCATAATCCGACAGAATAAAGGTTTGTGCATTCGAAATCGACGACGAAACTGATTTTCGGAATACACAGAATTTATTGCGAAGTAATCATTGTACAATTGCAAATTCCCTTTCTCCCTTTCTCTATCTCCCCTACGCTGCGGGACAGTTTCATCTTCATTTACAATTTCGATCTCGGATGGAGGTGGTTGAGGAAGCATTATGTTAGGTAAGTGATTTGTGACAAATTCGTCAACTAGATTATCAAATTCTGCATATTGATCTGAATCAGAAGAATTTGAGCTTGAGGTTGAGCTTATGGAAAACATTTTCTGTGTTTGGTTTTTGAATGTTTTGGTGTTGTGGATCAATTTATGGATTTCACACCTTTAAATAAGAAAGCTTTTTAGTGCATGTCCTTCAACTGAGTGTGAAAAGACTACTCAATGTATAGTAAAAACAAAATACATGACTACTCAATTCTTAATAATCAATACCAATGCTTGTCATACGGTTCAAGTTATGTATGAAATGACTACTCATTGCTTGTATAAAACAAAAACTACAATTGGACTTGACTACTTTTTGGGATTTGACAGTTCAATGGTTGATAAAACCAACCACTTGACTCATAATTGTATAAGACAAAATCTACACACACTAGCTAGTACTTGACTCATAATTGAACAAAATATATGAAAATGTAATATAAATTGATTGATTTTTGGATAAAATTAATAATAAAAATTAATTCATTTCAACATAATAAACAAAATACTTGAAATCATAATGCATAATAAACTACTCTACTTTACACCATACACTTCTTGAATTAGTTCCTCCTTCCACGCTTCTTCAGCTGGTGTAAGTGGCGTCGTTTTTGACATAATGGCTTGCAACATATCAAATTTCATCTTCTTCTCTTGTAATTCGACCTGTTTGTTTTTCCTCTTTTCCTTTTCCCTTTCAAGGTCCAACCTTTGTTGCCGTAAATTTGCCTCAAAGCTTCTAACTTCAGTACAAGCCTGTATCTGTTCACCAATACTTAAAATTGCACTATCATGAGCAGTAGCTTTTCCCTTACGCTTAGCCTTTGCTTTTTTTACCCCGTCGGGTCTGGGTATACCTCCTGATGAAAACCCACCAACGGGAACATCTCCTTCAGCTTCACTGTCAGTTCTCGATCTCTTTCCACTTCCATTGCTATCCTCGGTGTCCCCTTCCGAACGCAGTTGACAATCCTGTCGTTCCTTTATTGACAATGCCCATCTGAGTTTCGGCCTCCACTTTGGGTCATTCTTTATCATTTCCCAAGCGTGGGGAAAAACAAAATTGTGTGGTGGTTTGGATGATATATGGAACAACTTCGAGGCCTTTTGAATTCGATCAACTTCGTTGAATCCACTTCCAGTTAACGGACCCGCTTCATCATAACAACTTGTCCATAACAGTACATCTGTCGCCATCCTTCTCCAACGGTTCTCCAAACTCTTCGCATTTCTAGGTGGTAGTATTTCTGGCTGCCTAGCTTGAACCATGTCGTACGCCACAGATATTTGTCGCCAAAGTTCAGCTGCTTTCATGCCCGTACCCACTATCGCATTTCCACTGTATTTTAAATATAGCCAATAAGAGCTTCATCTTCTGCGACTGACCAAATACGACTAGCTTTAGCGAGTTGTTGGTTGGAACCCACCGACATTCTTTGAGTCGACGGCGGGTATTGAGGTGTCTCAAGCACATTTTCTTCTTGGCTATCATCGTACTGAGAGTTACTTCCTTGGTAGACAGGAGGTGATTGCTCGTAATCAGTGTTTTCAGTTGGAATTTGTGGAGGTATTTGTTGTTGTGGAGGTATTTGTTGTTGTGGAGGATTTTGCAGAGAGGTGTTGCTCAATCTTTGTAGGAAAAGTTGAAATTGAGGTTGATTCATGAAATTCTCATCTAAATCATTACAATTTTGAGAAAGTATTGAGTAAAAGGGGTTATTGGGATCCATATCTATTTTTTTTATTAATTTCAAAAACTAACACAATAATAACAATAATAATAATAATAATAACACAAATAAAAAAAAAATAATAATAATAATATTAATAACAAAAATAATAATAACAACAATAATAATTTTAATAACAATACTGCTAAAATAATAGCAATAATAATTATACTTCCAATAATAATAATAATAATAACAATAATAATAATAATATTTATTTTAATAATAATTATAATAATAATATTATTATTATTAATAATAATAATAATAATACTAATATTAAAAGGATGTCTAATTATGAGGGAGAAATTGAGAGAAAATGTAAATATAACAAATTTATGTGAATTTTGGAAATATGAAAATATAGGCAAAATGGGTCTCTATTTGTAGGGAATTTTTTTTCTAGCCGTTGGTAATTTTTTTTTATTTTTTTATTTTAAAAGTACAAAATACCCGTTACAAAAATATAACCGTTGTAATAATCAGGAATTTCCTGATTGGTCCAAGCTACCTGACAGGACGCATGTCAACGCCTGATTGGGCGTGCTGACGCGCTTGTCAGGGCTGCAAGTAGTATTTTTTTTTGCTTTTCCTTTTCTCAAAACGCTGCGTTTTGAGTTGAAGCAAAGCACACGCTTCCTCAAAACGCTGCGTTTTGAGGTAAGGTGAGCAAAAAAAAAGTTAATGGCAGATATGCACGTGGGGCCCACTAGTTGTTGGTCTAATTTTAATTTTGCCCAAACTTTGATCATAAAATGATTTGCCCATGGACATTTTTTATTTAGCTCATTGATGGGGACTTTTTTTTTTTTGATTAAAACCCAAAAACTACCCATGGGCATTTTTCTCCCCATTGGTGGGAATGCTCTAATATCCAATCCTACGTGGACACTATCTAGGGAATAAGTTTTTATAACAATGCAAATTGGGAATTAATTTTGATTTAAACAATTTCTATGGAAATCGTTCAAATAAATTGATTACTACTAAAAGGTAGGAATATTAACGGATAGTTGCTTTTCCACTTCGAATTCATATTAATGATTGGCTTGCTTTTAAATAATGATTAATTATATTGTTGCGGTTGCTTCTTAATACAAGATTTTTGATTTTTTTCTTTTTCTTTTTTTTCAAATCAGAATATTTTTTTAATACAACTTTTTTTTTTTTTTTTTTTTTTTGTGTTTGTGTTTGTGTGTGTTTGTGTTTTTTCTTTTTTTTAAAAAAATCATCCACCTTAATATTTTGACATACTATTGAACATGTTGTTGATGATACTTTTTTTTTCTTTCAAAGATTGATAAATTGAATTTTGTAGCATTTCTCTATATTTGATAATTTGGGTGTTGTTTCATTTAATTTTAAGTTGGCCACTACAGGTCAATTATATTGAAAGAGTTGATTGCATTATTAGTAATATATCACTTAATATAACAACATAGGCTTAAGATATTATCTATGACAAAAATGTGAAAATATAAAAGTAAAATTAATATTAATTATCCAATTGATGTGTGAATTTGTCATGCATTACAAACTTAATACGGAGTACTATTTTAAGTAATATATTAATTAGTTATCTAACGTCTCACTCGAGAAGATTATTTGTAGAGTATATGCGAGTTCAATACTACGAAATATAATTTTATTTGTTAAAATTGTGCATTGCACGGGGCTAATCTAGTATATACTAAAGTAACAACCGCTGATGTCATCACTGCCTACGTGTCACTTTCTTATTTTATTTTTTCTCTCCAAAATACATGGATGATGTCATATTTTTCCTTTACAAGCTACCCTATTCAACATTACTTTGAAAATTAAATTCCATTTGAATTTTTAAATTTTTTGGTTTTCTATAGATATTATGTTATTGAGTTATTTATGATTTGTTAACAATAGTTAATAATATAATTTAATTGAAATTTCTTAATTAAATATGAAATTATGCACTTTTGGGAATTGTATATTCATATTTAATAAAAAATTAATTAGGAGTAAAAAAACCCTAGCCTCCTTTTCTCTCTTCTCTCTCCTAAACATAGTCTCCTTTGTTAATTTTAAGGGGCTTTCATCGGATTTCACCGGTGGAAAGCCCCAATCTTTATTTTCCTTTAAGCTTTTAATTTGTTTTAGGTTACAATAATGTCTCCCTCGAAAGAAATGGTTTATCTCCTTCGAAAGGCAAGGTTTTTTCGATCTCCTTCAAAAGACAAGATTTTTCGTACTCCTTGGAAAGACATGGTTTTATTTGTGCTTAATTTGGTCTCCGGTTGTGCGGGGCTACTATTGATTGTGGCTCGGATTCGGGTTACGGAATCAACACAAGAATTTACTTTCTCACAAAATTGCGAAGCGATGACGGATCCACTCAAAAAGTTGTATGAGACAACGAATCGAGAATATGCCGAATTGTTATATTTATGTATTTGGATTCTTAGCCCTTCCCCGATTAATTCTTGTTTGATTTTGTTAAATTCGTTTTCATTATCGTTCATTGTCAATTGTAGATGCCGTATGACTTACATTAATGAAATTTAGTGTCCTTTTAGGACTTTTTTTCAAAAAAAAAAAATTTAATTAGGAAAACGGAGGAAGTAGTTATTTTATTTAATTTCAATATGTGTTAAAAGTTTATAATTCAATTCTTATTATAAAACCGTGCAACCGCTGACATCATAATAAGAATTGTAAGAATATCTGGTGGCCGAATGTTGTCAACGTTCTGGTGTGATCATAGTCGATAGATGTGATTGGAGAGTGGAGTAATTAATAAAAAACCCATCTCTATTTCCCCTTTTTTTTTTTTTTTTAAATTTATTTTTTAATTAAAATCCAACTAAATCCACCACTGTTGCTGACTCAATCTCTCTCTCTCTCTCCTCCTCTTCTCGAATCCCTCTTCTCATACTGTAGTTTCAGAATGCAGTGAACTTGATTTGTTGCCTTTTCCTGGTAAGTAAGCTTGTAAAAATGGCGACTTTTATCAATATTTATGAAACCCTTAAATCTTTTTTCTGTAAAGTATAGATCCATTGTCATTTTTAATTCTTAAATTTTGTCATGATTTTATCAATTTTGTCATAGATTCTCGAGTATTACTTACATTAATGATGGGTTTATTTGATGAAGCTATTTGTCGAATTGGGTCTGTTAATCTTGATATAGTTACATGAAATCTTAACATTTAATTTTTTTCAAAAAATTTCAAAATTTATTAATTATTTTTGATGGGATTTTGATATTGGGTGAGATTACTTCTTTTGCTAGGTAAATTTGGTGGCACATACATTTGCAGCTGAATTCAATGGAGGGGTATGTGGAATACTCCATTTCATTTCTGTTTAAATCATATTGTATTCAATTATTCATCAAGCTTTGATTTCTGCAGTGTGGGATATTCATGATTTTTTTGGTGGGTATTTAATTTTTATTGTTGTATTAGGGAGAGTGAGCTAGAGCTTCTACAACGATATCGGCGTGACCGCCGTGTGCTTCTGAATTTTATGCTTTCCGGTAGCTTGATTAAGAAAGTTATACTTCCTCCTGGGGCTGTTTCATTAGATGATGTGGATCTAGATCAAGTCAGTGTTGATTATGTTCTTAACTGTGTTAGAAAAGGTGGGATGTTAAGCTTTGTTTGAACTCGAAACCCTAACTGTTGTATTAATTGTTTTGATGGGATGTTTGCTTATTTCATTGATGTTAATAATGTAGGTGAAATGCTTGAACTCTCTGAAGCTATCAGAGATTATCATGATGGTTCAGAGTTCCCTTTTATGGTGAGATAATGCTTAACTAATTTAAAGGTATCATGAGAGTACTTGTAAGGTCTGTCGTCGTGAAATAATTGTGGTTGTTATCTTTGCAGAATAATGGGGGGGCTAGTGATGAGTATTTTCTTGTTACAAACCATGAACTTTCTGGTTCACCCCCGAGACGAGCACCACCACCAGCACCATTAGTTGCCCCACCAACCATTCTTCCGAGTTTGTCAAAATCGGAGGTGGTTGATGACGAGTTGGAATCAAACTCAGAGCCTTCTATCCAAGATGCGTCTTCAAATGTTGATTTTCTGTCTAGAAGGAGTATGTCTCAGGCTGAATCTTTCAGTTCAAATCAAGCTAAAGAATTGACAGTTGATGACATTGAGGACTTTGAGGATGACGATGACTTGGAAGAAGTTGATAGCAGAAGAGTTTCAAGGCGAATGCCGAATGATGCGTCTGATCTTGTGGCTGTACTACCAAGTTTTGCTACAGGCAAGTATGGTTAGGCATTTATGTCATGCATGTTATTTTTATCTTATAAGTGGAGCCTGCATGCATTTAAGATCAATACTGACCATGCACGTAATGTTTGGGTCTAGTCCAGAGTCTTGACTAGAGTGCTGAATATTCTGAATATAGTGTTGCTACATCAGTGGTTTTCAGTTAAGATATTGTGTCATCTAGAATGGTTATTCAATATATGGCTTAGATTAGTAGTGGTTGATGCATGAGAAAGTTATAAAGGCTTGTTTTTGTAGATCTCTACTACCAAATCTCGAAGATTTGTGTATGCTCATACTTATGATGATAGTAAAAAAAAGCACCAAAAATATTTAATAATTAAAGAAAAGTTTCATCTAAACGAATCTTATGTTGATAGTAAAGAACTGTAAATGATTAGAACTGGATTGCCAGTGCTGAGTCAATGGAGTGACAGTAGTTGGATTTATAAAATTTCCTCCTGAATCAACTGCACCTACACCACAGCTTGGGCCATAATTGTTGAAGCTTGCTTTCTGAATTTACCTTCTGAGTACATGAACATTCAAAGTTCCTTCAACATTTGTGCAAGATCTTCAAAAAGAACACGTGGGAAAATCTTTCCAGGATTCTTGTAGAAATTTATACAAAATGAGTAGTAGACTAGTCGTCTTTGGAAATTCATCCTTGGCATTAAATGGTCTACACTACTCTCTCAACTTATGTAAGAAAACAGCCAAAGTGACAGCT